TCACAACTAAAAGTTCTTTAATCTGGCATAAGCTTATGATTTGTTCAGGGTAGAGGTTCTAAGAATCTAAAACTGTAATTAGCAACCTTAAACTGTTCTGATGCGAGTAGTCTCAGGGATACATGCTCTACAATTTGGCTTCCTCTTCCTCCACCCTGGAAAGCTGCCATCTCCCTTCGTGACAGATCTTACAGTTTTCCTCAGTTCTGACAAGGGCTTGGTGCCCTGAGATTTTAAGTGGTGTTAACACCAACTGGGCCAATGCAATAATAGTGCTGCCACTCAGATATCTAGAGAGACCACTGTCTAGGTGGGACTGAGTTCACCACGCTTGTCAGGACAGTGATTTGGGCTGTTGATAATCCCCTACAGGGCTCATGTTACAGCTGGATTTTAATTCTCTAAGCGCTGACCCATCTATTTGTGCGTTTGTCCTGAGGACTAAGCTCTGATTTTTTTTACTTGCCCAAAATTCTTTCTTTTTTTTTCTTTCTTTTTTTTTTTTTTTTGAGACAGAGTTTTGCTCTTGTTGCCCAGGCTGGAGTGCAATGGTGTGATCTCGGCTCACCACAACCTCCGCTTCCCAGGTTCAAGTGATTCTCCTGCCTCAGCCTCCCGGGTAGCTGGGATTACAGGCACGTGCCACCACACCCAGCTAATTTTTTTGTTTTTTTAATAGAGACGGGATTTCTCCATGTTGATCAGGTTGGTCTCAAACTTCCGACCTCAGGTGATCTGTCTGCCCTGGCCTCCCAGAAGTGCTGGAATTATAGGCGTGAGCCACTGTGCCTGGCCACCTAAATTCCTTTCTAAGGGGTCTGAGAGTCATGCCCTATAAACCATAAATTCTCATCAGATATTTAACCCTGTATATCGTGACTTACTTTCCAATCTGACTCTGCCATGACAAGGAAGACAATCAAAATGTTTTACCCCAAAATATATTTCCTTGCCAGACCTTGAAATTGCCCTGCAAAATCTCTTGCGGGAAAATGCACATTCTATAGAGAATCTCCTCTCCCCTTTGTTTTCCTTCCTTTCTCTCCAGATTCAGGAGATAATCAACTAAGAGCCAGGCACCCTTTAAAGTCTCTTAAGAAACAATTTATAACCTGCTCTCTCTAAGTCTGCTATCTGAGAGCTTCCTCTGCACAATAAAACTCGATCTCCACAATCCTTTATCTTAGCCTAAACATTCCTTTCTACCAATCCCAGGTCTTTAGACAAACTCAACTAATTGTCTGCCAGAAAATGTTTAAATTTACCTATAGCCTGGAGGCGCCCCACCTATATCTTTGACTTGTCCCGCCCTTCTGAATGAAACCAATGTATTTCTTAAATGTATTTGATTGATGTCTCACACCCTCCTAAAATATATAAAACTGAGCTGTACCCTGACTACCTTGGACATATGTCCTCAGGACCTCCTGAGGACCGTCATGGGCCATGGTCACTCACATTCGGCTCGGAATAAATCTCTTAAAATATCTTACAGAGTTTGACTCTTTTCATCAACAGTGCCATCATCCAGCATTCATCAGTCATATTGCTAACTAACCACTCAGCCAAACAACAGATGTCCCCTACCTACCTTTCCAGCCTCATCCATCCTATATGCATCTGGAAGACATTGTATTCGGAAGACATGCACATTGTTGTACAGAAGATCTCCAGACATTTTTCATATTCTGTGACTGAACTAGCTCAGTTTCTGAAAAAACGCCCATTTTTAGATCTTTAGCCATCTTAGGTCCCAACTAGATTTCAAGATACAATTACATTTTCTCCTCTCTACAGGCTTTCTCCTTTTCATGTGAGTTTTTAGACTACTTATTATGTACTTTCCTTCCTTTTGACCTGTCTTCCCTTGTTTTATTAAGCCATTTAATTCACTGTGTGTCTTGGCATTTACCTTTTCATATTCTCATGGCTTCTTTCCCCAGTGAGTGGGGCCATCACTTCCTTATTGTGCCCCCAGTGTTTCTCACAGTGACCAGCAGATAGAAGGTGCACAGTGACTATCTGGTAATTTTCTCCAAAGACTTAAACAGATTTTAAATATAATCCTATTTTGTGAATACAGGATGACTTAAGTCCCACTTTATGGTTGGTGGGTGATCAAATTTCTTTCTTTGCAATGTGCTATTAACCCTGGAATAAAAAGGGTAGTTTAAAAAATTGAGTGTAAGTGTACCTACCATCTGAGACCTGTTCTTTCTGGCTGTCATCTGTGATGGGTAAGGAGATCCTTTTATCTTTTTTATGTAGTTCAGTTTCTAAAATCAGGAAATTTATTATTGCATTAATTGAAGAGATTAAACAAGCCTCACACAAGAATAATCTCATTGATATGTTAGTAAGCAGAGATCTCCACACTGTGAGAGTCTCTGATTTTGGAATATCTGGAAGAGTGTTTCTCTGCAGGGGCAAGAGCCAAAGGTGACAGAGTTAAGATCAAACACACACACACACACACACACACACACACACACACACACACATACCCCTTGACCTTCGTTAATAAAAGCACAGCATAAAATCAAGTCTTTTTTTTGTCTGTCACAAAACTTCTATAATGCAAGTATATATGGGACAGTTAGGACTAACTACAAGTCAATGGAGTCAATTTTAGAATGACTGTTTTGTGGCCCACTCCCATAAAAGGAATTTGAAGCTCTATTCTGCCTAGTATAGGAAGCCACACAGAGGGCCTCTACATTCTGAGAATAAAAGAATTTGAGTTAAAATCAATGGCCAATTGGACTTCTACATATCCCTCTGTGCCTGCACCTCCACCTTCCTGCCTCCTCTGGGCTTTGGTTGGGCCCACTCCTGGTGACTTGGCCATCAGCCAGAACCTCCTCTGAATTCCCAAACCCCACCCTCTCTCTGTCCTTCCTCCCCAACTTCCTGTACTTTCACCTGACTCAACCCTCTATGGTCTGGACCAATGGCACCCACTCTGTCCCCTGCAGTTGATTTTGATGAGTTAGTCCATTCTGAAAGGCAGCAACTGTTTCAATTGGTTGGGATCTGTACCCACACTGGTTGTTAAATAGTTTCAATATCCCCTTTGTTTGGATTCTTTTATTTTTTTTCTGTTTATTACTTCCTTCCTTATCCAATCTAGACCCCCATAGTCTATCACTTCATCTGCTTTCTTGCAATGGCCTTCGATTTCTTTGCCTCACCTTCTTCGTTCCCAAATGCTAAGTGAATTGGACTCATTTTCCACTCTCATGTTCAATGTGGATAACCAAAGTCACCTTAGCACCTATTTTAGGCACCAGTAAAGCACGTGCACAAATGTGAGAAAAATAAAAACTTTTTGGAAATAATTTGCTATTCCAAATAAAGTCAACATGGAAGAACTCAAAATTTTGTTGGAATACGTTGTGGGGTTACTTTTACTCTAACTGTATTTATTCTAAGCAGGGGGTAGCAGTATACTCTAATATTTTGGGGTTTACTACAATCATGCATCTAGGTTTCTGCTCCTGCATCCAGGCAGCTGAGCATCTTTGCAAGGAATCACACAATCATACATTGCAGGCACTACAAATTAATGGTCCCTAACTTCCACTGAGCCCTTAACTCTGAAAAAAATTATATTTTTTTCTGCTTTGTGTCTCTCCCTTCCTCTTAACAGTTGCAGTCATGTGTTAGTTAATAATGGCAGATACATTCTGAGAAATGCATCGGTAGGCAATTTTGTTATTGCATGAGCATGAGAGAATGTACTTACACAAACCTAGATAGTATAGGCTACTATACACCTAAGCTACAAACCTCCACTGCATGTTACTGTACTGAATACTGTAGGCAATTGTAACCATAATAGTATTTGTGTATTTAAACATATCTAATACAGAAAAGGTATAGGAAAAGAAAACAGCATAAAAGATTAAAAAATGGTACAACTGTATAGGGCACTTACCATGAATGAAGCTTGTGGGACTGGAAGTCGCTCTGGGTGAGTCAGTGAGTGAGTGGTGAGTGAATGTGAAGGCCTAGGACATTATTGTAGACTACTGCAGACTGATAAATACCATGCACTTAGGCTACACTGAAATTTTTTTTCTTTGATAATAACTTAACCTTAGCTTACTGTATTTTTAAGCTTTTATGTTTTTAAAAACCAACTCTTTTGTATTAGCACTCTGCTTAAAACACAAACACCTTGTACAACTATACAAAAATATTTTTTCTTTATATCCTTTTTCTTTAGATCCTTTATGTCCTTTTATAAGCTTTTTTTCTATTTTTAAAAATTACTTTTTTCTTTTCAAATTTTTTTGTTAAAGACAAAGACACAAACACATACATTATTAGCCTAGGCCTACACAACATCAAGATCATTAGGAGGTCACTAGGCGGAAGGAATTGCTCAACTCCATTACGTTATGAGACCATGCCACGGTTTGCCCCAGTTACTACCAGACTGAACAAAGGAGGACGAACATAGAAATGAAGACAAAGAAAAAGGATTTGTTTTAAAGAAAAAGAAGGGGTCAGGGGAAGAAGGAGGCTTCTTGCTTCTAGTGAGCAAAGGCAGCCCTGAGCGTCTACAGCCCTTCGTATTTATTGGGTAGAAAGAGGAGGGAGGAGCTAATGGTTGGTCAGCTGCTTGACTGATCACAGGTTCCCGTTATTATAGCTAACAAGCTTCAGATGTGCCTAATCACAAGAAACACTGCACTTGGGGTGCGATAGCCCTCAGCATTCCTTCTGGGCGGCAGATGCAGTTCGTCAGTTTGCTAACATTCTGCATTTATGAGAACAGTTTGCTGTTTACTCATATAGCCTCCACTGAGTTGATCACGACCCTCACTCTTTTGGCCCGCAACAGGACCACTGTGGTATCATGCCATCTGCCATTGACCAAAATGTCGTTATGCACACATGCCTGTATTTCAAACCTTCATGTCCTTCCTTAGAAGCCCAGCCTTTCCCTGAGTCTTTGGCCTTCAGGACCTGGTCCCACTGCCTGTTTGGTTCCGCATTCCTCCATTCCACACACTGACTTGCATCTGCATCCATCACCTCCCCTTTCTCTGGCCTTAGCAGCAGAGACACTTTCAGTTTGCAGCTGACCCTGTGCTCTGGCACTTGAGTTCTACTTGAGCAGAGAACCCTTCTGCTCACTCCCCCTCTATCTTCACCCTCTCCTCTCTAATAGTAGTTAAACTTTAACATCCAACCATCCAGATATCCATCCATCTCTTTGTATTTTTGGATATGTATATCATGCACATGGAACAAAATCCAAGAGGCACAAGAGACCCTGAACTGCAGAAGTCTTCCCTCCCCCACCACTCAGGTCCTCCTCCAGGAGGTCATGATGGTTATCAGTTTCTTCTCATTACTATCAGTTGCTGACAACTCTGTGTCCCCATGTCCAGCCCAGAGTGCTCTCCTGGGCTCCAGAGATACGTGTCTGTTACCCACCAGAACTTTCACTTAGATGACTCTTGAAAGTCTGCTCCTTCTCCTGTATTCATTACATTAATTGCATCTTCCCAATCATTTTCCTGACTCAGAGCACACAGTAAGTGACAAGGACAGGAGAGGCAACCAGCTTGGGGACTCCAGCTGCCCCAGATTCTGCCCCCAGGACTGAGGAGATCAAGAGTTCTACACATTCAATTCATTTGTGGCCCACTGTTTGGGAAGTTCGGCCTCAGATAACACCATCACCATGTGTTGAGATGTTGAAAACATCAGGGGCATTCTTGACTCTCTTGAGCGCTCTCTTATCCTCAATCTCAGATTGGTCAAGTTCTGTCAATTGTATCTCTTGCAAATATAGCTCTTTCCCTACATCCCCACAGTCACTGCTTGCTTAAGGTCCTCATCATTTCTCTACCTGCAACAGAACTGGTCTTCCTGCTTCTTGTCTCTCCCCCTCCAATTCATTCTTCCCATTGCAGACAGTGATCATTTTAAGTTAGAAGCTGCTCCTGTCTCTCTTCTGCCTAAAGTCCTTCACTGGTTTTAACAAGGCCTCTACTTACCTACTGGCCTCCTGACATTCCTCAAACTCTATTTTCCAGATAAAGCAAATTGGCAGTTCTTCAAAAGTTCTTTCTTTCTTATCTTTGAATGCGTTGCTTTCTCTGAATTGAACAATTCTCCCATTTACCCCTACCATGCCCCCAACTGTTGGCCTTCCTTCCTCTCATAACTCGGTTTCGATGTTACCTCCTCCCAAAAGCCCTTCTATCAGGTCAGAGCCCTGATGGGGCCCTTCCCACTGCTGTCATGGTGCATAGCACATTCCTCTGGCCCACAGCATTGAGCATGCCAGCTCCAGAGTGACACTCTGGCCCCTAAGGCTAAGGTCCTTCCTTTCTACTCTAGTCTCATTTCTGCCTTCTCCACTCCACAAAATCAGTCTCATCAAAGTCATGAATGACCTTGGTCATACAACCATTGGGTATTTTTCAGGTCTCATTTTATCTAACACACCAGTAGCATCTAACAGTGTAGACCAGTCCTTGTTCTTGAAACACCCTCTGCCTTCAGGTCTTTTACATAATCAGATTTCAGGGGCTTATCCTGACTCTCTGACCACCCCTTTCTCATGGTCTTCTGTCAGTTAACCATGACAGGCTAAGTTCCTCCAGGCTTTCTTCTCTTACCTTCTCTCTAGACAATCTCCATTATACAGATAGCTTCATTTCTATTTATGAGTCAACAACTCCCCATTTGGCAACTGTAGTCCAGATCTTTCTGAGCTCCAAGAAGTATGCAGTTTTCCATGTGACATTTCCATTTTAGATATCACACAGGTATTTCAGAATCAAAATGTAAGAAATGAAACTCATGCTTTTTCTACTCTGGCACCATGCTTCTTCCTCTTCCATCCACAGGCATGCATGCACACACACACCTCCCACATTCTCATATTTTCTCTCTCTCTCGTTCTTTTACCATTTCCCCCTTATCAATAGTAAATCTGCCCAGTTGCTCAGTACCATTTTCCCCTTATCAATAGTAAATCTGCCCAGTTGCTCAGTACCATTTTCCCCTTATCAATAGTAAATCTGCCCAGTTGCCAGTTGGGATTCACCAGAGCCAATCAGATTCATCAGCAAGTCTTGATAATTCTACCTCCTAAATATCTCTGAAATTTCTACTGCCTCTGGTCTTGGCTGTATGCACTATCCCCCAATACCAGTCTTTCTGCAAACAGTCTTGCTTTATTCCAGGATGTTTTTCAAACTAATCCCACACATGACCAGGTTCTCTCCATCTAGAAATCTTCTGTAGCTCTCACATCTCATGGCTGTATCTCTCAGCTCCATCTCTTCTGGCTTTGGCCACATAAGCTTTTCCACAGTTTTTCCAAACAAGTTGATATATACTTTCCTGCTTCAAGTTCTTCCCTTCTATCCACAAGCATGAGCTCTGACAGCATGGCAGCCAGCAGTTACTCCTCCAATGCACCACAACTGCAGTCATCTATATAATGTGTGGCCAGCCCCTTGATGGACTGCAGGTTCCGAGAGGGCAAGATCAGGTCTATCTCATTCACCTCTGTATTTCTAGCTCCTAGCACTAGCTTATAGTTGGTACTGCACACACATTAGCAGAAGGAAGGAATGTTGGGCTCCAAGACACTTGACTAAAGCCCTTTGCATAAATAAATTGCTTTATTTCTAGATGTATATAACCATACCTAAGATGAGATCATCTTTAAGGCAAAGAAAAGATGTCAGCCCTCCCTTATTTCTCATGAGTGGAGAAAATACCAATAAGAAATATAAGCTTATTGAAATTTGTTGGCTTTTAATAAAGTTATCTAAAAATAAATCTGGTGTTGTAGGTTGAATTGTGTTTCCAAAAAGATATGTTGAAGTTGGCCAGGCGTGGTGGCTCATGCCTGTAATCCCAGTACTTTGGGGGACCGAGGTAGGTGGATCATGAGGTCAGGAGTTCAAGACCAGCCTGGCCAATATAGTGAAACCCCGTCTCTACTAAAAATACAAAAATTAGCCAGGCATGGTGGTGTGCACCTGTAGTTCCAGCTACTCAGGAGGCTAAGACAGGAGCATCGCTTGAACCCGGGAGGCATGAGTTGTAGTGAGCTGAGATGGCACCACTGCAGCCTGGGCAACAGAGTGAGACTCTGTCTCAAAAAAAAAAAAAGATATGTTGACATCCTAATGCCTGGTACCTGTGAATGTGATCTTATGGGAAATAGAGTTTTGGCGGACATAATCAATTTAAGATGGGATCATACTGGTTTAGGGTGGGTCCTGAATGCAATGACTGGTATCCTTATAAAGAGAGAGAGATTTGGAAACATAGCCATATACAGAGGAAAGACAGACATGTGAAGAGAGAAGCAGAGGTTGGAGTGATGCAGCAATGAGCCAAGAATGTAATCACTGCAACCCAAAGCTAGAAAAAGCAAGAAAGAATTCTTTCTGGAGCCTTCAGAGAGAGTGTGGCCCTGCCAATACCTCACATCAGGTCTTCTAGTCTCCTGAGCTGTGAACAAGTAAATTTCTGTTGTTTTTAAGCCATTCAATTTGTGGTAATTTGTTATGGTAGTCCTAGGAAATTAATAAATATGATACCTACAACATTTATAAGATCATAGTGTTCTTAAGTTGTGTTTTCTTTAACATTCTTATGAGATGTTTTATTTCAAAGGATACATTGAACTTAACAGTTTATTTTGTCATGAATTTAGTTTAGAAATGATAAAATACAAATGGGAGTTATTCATATTAACAGTGATTCAGTTATAATAAATATGTTAATACTCTTTTAATAGCAGTCCAATAAAACGTCACATCTAAGAGCTTACCTGATTGGTATGGCTGAAAATGTATCTTGTCTCCAAGTGCAACAAGTTTCTCCTGTTGAAAAATTTTATAATCACAGAATTAAATGACCACAATTCCTAACTTAATTATTCTTTTTTTTTTTTTTTTTTTTAGATGGAGTTTTGCTCTTGGCCACTGCACTCCAGCCTGGGCGACAGAGCGAGACTCCGTCCTAAAAAAAAAAAAAAAAAAAAAAAAGACTGTCTCTTCTGATAAGGGCACTGTTCCCATATCATAGGGGCCCCACCTTGCTGACTGCATCTAACCCTAATTATTATTTTTTTTTTTTTTTGAGACAGAGTCTCGCTCTGTCACCCAGGCTGGAGTGCAGTGGCATGATCTCGGCTCACTGCAAGCTCCACCT